GGATGTTAGGAAGTATTTCTTCAGTCATAGAGTAGTCAAGCCATGGAATAGCCTAGAAAGTGAAGTAGTGGAGGCGGGAACCATACATAGTTTTAAGGCGAGGTATGATAAAGCTCATGGAGCAGGGAGAGAGAGGACCTAGTAGCAATCAGTGAAGAGGCGGGGCCAGGAGCTATGACTCGACCCCTGCAACCACAAATAGACGAGTACAAATAGGTGAGTGCGCGCGCGCGCGCGCACACACACACACACACACACACACACACACACACACACACACACACACACACACACACACACACGCATATGCAACAGGCCTAGTGTCTAATCGACATGTGCCTATGATAAAATGGTAACTAACACATATAATACCCATATACACGCCTGCTGGATCATGAAACGCCTACCAAAAATATACACAAGGAAAACAAACTGATCCTACAGAATATCATCTTAGATACTGAGGGAAGGAGCAGAGAAACTGAGACCCCAAACGAGACAATTTAGATAGTTTGCTAGGCTTAAAGCTGATAGTTTGTTAGACTGAAAGCTAATAGTTTACTAGGCTTGAAGCTTATCAACTACACGTGGGTCATTAAGCCTGAATTCATCTAGACACTAACATCAAAAACATTTTATTGGTCGTTTGGTTTATCAAATTGGTCGCATATCACCTGTAACACCACCAGCCAAGAATAGTTTAATTTCTTAAATGGGAATAAAAGAAAACTCAATGTATATATACTGAGAGATGGTTGGGTGCTTAATTAGGCTTAAAACCTATCAACCCAGGAGGGTCTTTAAGACTGTTCACTATCAATCGAGAATATTATTGTAATCCAGAATATTGGATTATTGGGACTAAATTACCCTCATGTGTTTAAATAAACATCCCTCAAACATACATTGTTACTCAGTGCAGTATATTATTATTGAATGTTTATAATTATTACCGTGGTGGAGCGGAAAGCCAGTGGAAGGCCTCGGTCAGATGACCAAAAGCTCCAACTGCGGGCCATCTGACTAAAACCCGCGTCAGGAAACACTATTAATATGTACACGCTTATTTGGCATTAAAAACTGATTTCACGGAGTACACACGTTAACAAACACGGTCGGCACGAAAGAGAAATTGCTTCGCCTAACAGCCGCACACGTGGATGTTTAATCAGCGCTCTCGAGGACGGTAATGAAAACAGGTCGGTGGTTGTGTGGAAAGTTGATGTTTTCTGTTGAGCATTGAGACGTGGTAGCAATTAATGTAATCCTATAGAATATAACTGAAGCGTAACCTCAGTCCTATGCGTCTTCTATACTTTCGTTTATGGGATTTATGTTTTGTTGTGGCGTCGGCTGAGTCGGCCAGTAGTGGGTTACCGCGGCTCTTTATTCCCTTCAACCACATTTTCCCTCGTAGAAAGTGACATTAGTCCAGTGGCGGACCTACATTTTTGGGTCCCTAAGGCTTGAACTGTTATGGGGGAGCCCTTCACAACTCTCTGGGATTAGGGGCCCTGATGCTTAAGCTTCATTAGTTTCACAGTAGATCCGCCCCTGCATTAATCCATGTATTATTGGGGGGATAGGAACTGTGTTGTAGCTTCCTGTTTAGCCAGCATCTTTTTAGAAAGTTAAACGAGAGTAGAGGAAAGCAAAAGAAAAAAGGAACGAACTTGCATCTCAGGCATGTTTCCCAGAGGCATTAACAGTAGAAAGTTGGAGTGTGTTGTACAGGTCTACCCTTCATGGGAGGGGGATTAGGTGGATAGATGCTGATGAAGGGCTCGTTTTCCAAGGAAGTAGAGCTACCTTCTCTTACCCAAAATTAAATTTGATTACCTTCAGTTCCACAGGTTGTATGTACAACTGAGGTATCGTCTTCATTTTGTGGATTAGTTGTAAATTGTTGTAATCAGTTTTCTGACAGTGGGTTATTTGTGAGTTACTGTAGCCACGGTATTGCGAGTTATTTGGGAATTGTTGCAACCAGGTGTACGTATTCTGACTTGTGCGTTTTGTTAATTGCTGCAGTCACAATAATGTGGGTAAGTTAATTATTGCAGCCACTGGATTGCGGGTTAATTGTGAATTGTTGGAGCCACGGTATTATGGGTAGTGTTCCTGTAGTACCAAATGTTAAAAGAAAACATTCGTGTAGTAGTCATAAAATATTCTAGGGTAAAAGTTAACATGATTTGAGCATGTTGATGGTGGTTCTGGAGATGGGTTAGTGGGTTACCGATCCCTTCCTCGACCACTTTTCCTCAATACATAACTGATTGTGCATTTGAGCTGCATTTGCCTTATATTCCTCGGCATAAACCCTATTGTACCAACTCTTCAAACTGTGTAAGGACACTACTTCCACCACTTCCTCAGCCAGAACATTCCACGTCCTAACTACACACACGTTCAAAAAAATACTTCCTAACATTCCATTGACCAAAACCACATATAAGCTACAGTGTAATATTTTTTTTTATTTAATTCATGTTTGCACAAATTACTCATAAGTGCAACCAGATATAAACTTGTAAAAAGTTCGGTACCACTGTAACTTGCTTAGATATCCAAATTTTGGACCAAAATCCCCAGACCCGTTTTGTGCCTCTGTAATCATTTGACTACCACCCACAGGATAGTTATGGGGTACGTAATAATATTAGATACTATAAAGAACAGAAATGTCCAGTACCGTGACTGGAACAATATACAAATAAACCGCACATGGGAGAGAAGCTTACATCATGGTCACAAGTTTCTCTCCCGTGCAAAACAACCACGGGGGAAGTTTAATAATAGCTCTGGGCCTTTCGTTTTGCAATCAGCACATCATCAGGAGCTTGCAGTATTACATCAATGAATATGAAGTCTAGTTAGATACGTTCAAGGGAACTCTAGCTAGAAGTATTAAATTCTCGCTCTTAAGTGAGTGTTATTTGTGTACATTGAATCAGACCCCGGTGGGCGGAACGTATACTGCACATTGTCTTAACGAAACACTGTCACAATAAACGTTAGTTGTGCACCTGTGTGTAAAGTTACTGAGTTCACATGTAGGTCGCTAGCGTCACACCTCCCACCATCTGCTGCTTCTTCCTCAGTCATTACTACGCACGCTCTCCTCTTTGTTTTTCTCCGTCTCACTGAACGTACTGCCGCATCTGCTGTACGTTTTTCTAAGGAGACTTGTAGCTTAATGGCTGAGAGTTAGGCTCACAACCAAAAAGATGGAAGTACGGGCTAATCTCGCACCTGCTGCCTCTCCTCACCTATTCGTAAATAGGTACATTGTTACTAGTCGACTGTTGTAGTTGGCCTCTCCTAGGCAAGGTGAAATGTTCAAGCAAGTCTCCATACAACCTGCAGCCCCTGCTTATATAGAGTAATCCTAAAGTCCTACCAATCTCCCAGGTACAACTAATATCAATAAGTGTTGTCTGTTTTAGATGCGCCTTCCCCAAATTGTGTGCGTAATAATTCAGGACTGTGCCTATAAATTTCACACATAATTTCTCACAAGAACTATTTGCAAAAGATGAGGTAATCAGGCGTAAAGATGGGCATTTATATACTGGCGGCAGGTGAGGTTAGTTTAATGTTTATTATGCACCCCATATCCATCTTGTGGGTGGTAGTCAAAAGATTACAGAGGTACATAATTGGTCCAGGGACTGGACTCCAAAGTTTTGATAGCTGAGCAAGTTACAAATGTAATGAACTAGATCTGGTCACAATCGTGACCAGGTACAAAGGTAATGAGCTCCAGGTAGACCTGGTCACACTCATGACTAATTACAAAGGTAATGAACTAGATTTGATTACAATAATGATAATTGACAAAGTTAATGAGCTCTAGGCTCTACCTGGCAGGTAAGGGACGTATAGCAGACATTGTCACTGGTAGGTGGGATTTCCCAGTGGAATTAGGTCATACCCGAGAGACGGGCCAGTAGTAGTTACGAAGGTTGTGGCATTGTATGTCATGCATGTATAACTTATCAGATACTGCAACATAATGGTATCTTGGTTCATAGGACATCACAACCTTCTTAACTACTACTGGCCCGTCCCTCGGGTATTATCTACTTCCACTGGAGTATCCCACCTACCAGTGACATTGTCTTCGTCTCCTACACGTCCCTCGCCTGTCGCCAGTACATAAGCGCTAATCTTCATGGCTGTACTTCAAATTCTTCACTACTACGGTGCTCTTTACCAGTTCTACTGTCTTCCAATTATATCCTTGAATTTGTATTGATAAAGCCACTGGATGGCTAAACGTCTAAAAATAAAGATACCCAGATATTGCATGTCTAATTCTTCATCTTGTCGGTATTTTATACCATACATAGAAATACATACAAATTTTATTTCTTTGCAAAGGTTACTATGTGTGATTTACATTTTAGAGTGTTAAGTACAAAGAAAGCCACTAACATGCTGGGGCATTTCGGGCAGACATGTGCCAGTCACTTTAACTTGGGGTATGCCATACTGAGCTATGCTAGGCTGCTATAACTAACTCATCCCTTTGGGTAGGACCTACTTCCACTGGGGAATCCCGCCTACCAGTGACTATGTCCTCGTCTGCTACACGTCCCTATCCACTGACGCCTATATAACCGCCAGTCTTCTTGCCTTTGTTCTGTTCTGTTTTGCTCCAGATTCTCCTCCACCACGATGCTGTGAACACTAACTCCAAGGCTGAGGGACTGATTACCTCATATTTTGTATATAGTTCTACTGTCTTCTAATTATGTCCTAGAATCTGTATTGACAAAGCCACTGGATGGCGAAACGTCTACAATAAAGATATCCAGATGTTGTGCATGTGTCTTAACTTTCATATTGTCGGTATTTTATACATTTCTTGCACAACTATGCTAGGCTATACTGGCTTATGTTGGGTTACAAGTTATTTACCCGAAATATACAGCACTTTATCTTCTCCTTTCAAAGAAGGGACATATATAATGACAGATTTATTGCGTTTCCAGTACATGGGTTTATGGTACCAGCAAGATAAGCTACAAGCATCATGGGAAGCTCCCGGCCGCTGCTGGAAGACACTTTACGCCAGAGATCACAAGAATGGACAGTTTAAGATGAAAATGATCTTCAGTCTATTGTAAGTGTAGTTCCATGTTTTTTACCTAGGCTAGGAATGTTTCTAGTTTACTTGGAGTCTCTTTTTTTGTGGCCTAAAAAAAGCTGTAATTTTCCATGTCTTTTTTTCTTGATCCAAAGAGGGGATACAGGCGGAAGATCCTTAAAGTTACTAGGCATGTAGTTGTTTTAAAATGTATATTTGACCCCCATACCCCTCCTGGGGTGGGAGTCAGAAGATTAAGAGGGACATAATGGATCCCGGGACTGGGGCCCAAAATTTTGATAGGTACCCGGCACGTAGTACACGTATCTTTGATGTCATCCCAACAGACTTCTGTTGGGGTGTACCAAAGTTTTGTGTATAAAGGGTGTGTTAAGTGTTTTTGTACTATTGTAGTTGCAGGAAAACTGTCGATAGGCCTCGTCCTAGTGTGTTGTGTGTGTGGGGTGTGGGTACTCGCCTTTTTAAGTTGTACTCACCTAGTGAGGTTGCAGGGGGTGGGTCCAAGTTGGGGTTTTTTGGTGTCTAGGGCCCTCCTGCGTGGCTTTTCGTCCCGCAAAAATTTCACCTTCCCAAAAATAGTTAAAAAAACTTCTCCCTGAACCTCGTCCTAAACTCTAAAAAACACCTTGGGTTACCTTACTCCCTATTCACCCAAATAACACAAAAAAACCCTTTAAAAATTAAAAAAAATTTACTAACTAGTCCAATTTTGCCCTTTTTATACTCCAATTTAAAAAAAACTATGTATTGTGCCAAAAAAAAAAGCATTCACATTGCTAAACCCCAAACTAGTATTTTGTCACTTCTTCACAAATTTTTAATAATTTAGAGTTAAGAATAAATTTAAATTTTCCCAATGCCTAGCCCCTGCAGGTGTTCTAGTG